TCCCTCTGTCCCTCTCCCCCACTTGTGTGCGTTCTCTCTCTAAAAATATATATATAAAAGAAATAAATATAAAATATAAAAAGATGGACATTTCTGGAAAAAATTGAGTGTAAATTAAAGTTCTATTATACTTTACCATTAACTTACCTTGTAATTGAGGAGATGAACTATTTTTATTTCTAGGGCAGCTTTAAGTTTCCGAGTCATTTCCCAAGTCATATTTGTATGAAATATGAAATTTAAAGTATTTAACAGAATCTTGTGGCCAATCCTTTTTTAGGTCAAAAGAACTCTAAAGTAAAATTAAGTCATTCCCCTAATTTATTTAACCTAAGTCTGGGTTTTTGTATATCTATGTTTAGATAATTTGGCTTGAATTTTTAAGACATTCACATTGACATACAATGTCAATATTTTGCTAGTAATATAGCTTTTTTATAACAAATTATTGACATATAATTCATATATTATACAGTTCATCCACTTAAAGTGTTCAATTCAGTGGTTTTTAGTATATTCACAGTTTTGCAATTATTACCATATTGTAAATTTATTGATTTGCTTTTTGCAGATAGAAAATTCCAAGTAGTATTAAAGATCCCTGAAAGAGAGTTGGAAAACCTGACTTACTGGTTTGGGCTCTGCCCAGTTGTGAGCAAATGTTTGCGTCCCTAGCCTTTGAAATGCAAAATTTGAGTCATTAATATACTTATTCAGACAACTAAGTTTTTTCTCTGTGGTTACTAAAGGAATAAAAAAAATAATAACACCACATTGCTGACCCTGGAAAAGCCCGCAGTCCAACAGGCATATAATAAGGTTTCAACTAGCTCGAATGTTCAGTGTTTCTTCTTAGTCCTCAAGCAGTAACCATTTAGAAAAATTAGTCTTTCTGGTCATTTGGAATGGGAAACTTCTGTGAGAAGTGTCATTTGGTTGAGTGTTTGAACACTAGGTAGGGCTGTGTTCCTTGTGAACTGTAACTTCACTTTTTGCAATTCAAGGACTGTCTCCCTGAGACCGTATTATAGAGGAAACCACATGTGACTCTCTTTTTTTTCTGTTTTGAAAGGTACTCACAAATCTCTCCGAGTTGGGCTTTTGAAAGTCCCTTCAAGCATTGCCCCTTCCTCTTCCCAGTAAAGATTTTTCTCCTTGGCAGTAGTGCTAATGCTATCTGTGTGGTTCAGGTCGGGGCATTCCCAGTAAGATACAAACAGCTATTCACAAATCTGAGGATTTTCTTTTTTTCCCAGGCCTCTCTGGCAGCGTCCCAAGAGTTCGCTGGCTTTTCACTCTGAACCACAAATAACAGTGCTGCTGAGACAAGTTCCTAGGTCACCTTACACTGGAGAGCCAAATCAGCACAGTAGCAGAGTCTTCTGAATTGACATTTTTCCTTTGAGTAAGGATGCTTTTATTTTTACTCTCTTAACCTTAAATAGCAAACAGACTGCTTTTCTACAACCTAAGTAGAACAGCTTTCTTAGAGAACAAGTGTATTGCTTTGAATAGGAACGTTTTCCCCAAAGTTACTCTTTGCATCTGTGATTGGTTAGCATCTCAGAATAACCTCTGTTTTTATTTTCTGTAAAAGCCACCAAAAAGAGAGAGGATGAAGAATTATTGAGCAGGACCTGATGAATGAGGATGACAAATAGGGTTTTGGAAGTAAACCTGTGTCACAGGGTTGTAGAAAGAGCTCTGGATAAATCAGGGACCTACGTCCTCTCTTGGGGTGCTTCTCAAGGGGGAGTCTTTTAACCCTCTGGGTCTCAGCCTCCCCATTAGTAAGATAAGGAGGTTCCCCTTCTAGATCCATGATTCTATATGGAATACAAAGTTCATGAAAGTTACTCAAGGAATAAATATAGGTGTTATTATAGCACCCGAACATAGCTTTTAATCATCTTTTCAAGATAAATTAACCAGCACCAAAAAAAAAAAAAAAAGTTAGCCAGAACAGATCCCTAACTAAATGCATGAGAATAATTCAAAATATTTAGAGCAGGATTTGCCAAGTATAAGGGTGTTACCCTGATTTTTGCCATGGACTCATTATGCAACCTTGGGCAAGTCAGGCTACTGGACTGCACCTTCGTTTTACTTTCTGCAGATGATTGCAATAATGCTAAACTCACCCAAGTGCTGAAAGGCTTAATTAAGGGCTATTAAGTGCTGTAATTACAAGGGAGGAGTTGGTAGTAGTGAATAAAGTGGCTTACCTACCATTTGAGACGTTTGGATGTTATAAATATGCCCTTAGAAAAAAAAGTAGGGACAAAAGGTGAAAGATAGAAGTGAGGTTCTTAAGTTTATAAAATAGTTATGTTTCATAATGCTGTTTTTTACAATTAAAAAAAGAAACTCTATTTTGAGACAGACATCCCTCCTTTATCCTTGCCGTCCAATAAAACTTCAGAGTTTCTCATAGTGTATGTCTTTTATGTGCCATCTTAATTTTTCTCAGAAATCATCTTCCTTTGACAAATAAAAGGCAACTTAAGCCCTATTCTCTAGAATGGGAGAAGATTTGGTGACAGCACCACATTGTGTACGGAAAGCGAATCCATTTTGCTTGTGTGAGAGTCTTTATTAGGGACTTCTAGACCCCTTCCTTGTTTAGAAAATCAGTCCGAAGCAGCCTGATGGTTTATGGATCATGCTGGGAGTGTAAATTGGCACAGCCACTCCGAAGAGCAACTTGGCATTTCTGCTTCTAAGTATGTACTTGAGAGCAGTGGTTCTCAAAATGTGGTTCCTGGACCAGCAGCATTAACATTACTAGGGACTTGTTAGAAACGTACATTTTCAGGCCTGACCCAGGCCCACTGAATCAGAAACTCTGGGGGTGGACCTAATAATATGCATTTTCACAAGCTCTCCCAAGAGATTCTGGTGCTTATTAAAGGTGACATCCCCTCGCCCAGAGAAGCTCTTGAGTCACGCCGCAAGAAAGACCCAGAAGGAAGCTACGGGTCCATATGCAGTATCTCATGATCTAACCAACAACCTTATCAATTTGGTTCTGTTATTAACCCCATTTTATTGATAAGGGATTATGGCCATAGTCACAGAGCTAGTAAGAGGTGGAGCTGGGTCTTGAACACATTTTCTTTCTCCCCCCCCCCCCATATTCCTTTTTCATTTATTTATTTATTTATTTTTAAAAAGCTGGCCAACCAATATCATCAGTTCCCATACTTTTTAATGTTTTCACACCTGTGAGTACCCCAAACCTGGGCATCCCTGTCCTAGATCCCATCCCCAGCCCCCTGCCATCATAGCCTTGTTGAACACATTTTCTTGACTTTACAGTGCAGTCTTCAAAACAGAGAATCTCAGAACAGACTGGACCAATGTGTAGTTTAATGGACTTGGTGGAAGTCAAAGAGAGCAGCTTCTGGTGGGTGTATTCAGAAGAAAAATCCTTTTTATTGACCAAGTCACTCACTAGTACATGAGATAGTTTGCATTTATCATTTCATTCTATCTTTGAAACAATTCTTTGCTGCGTATTTATCCTCATGTTGTAGATGAGGACTTAAGTTCAGAGAAGTTAAATAATTTGCCCAAATTCACACAGCTAGTAAATCCCTAGACCTGAACCCATACCTATCCCCAAAGCCATCTGCTTCTACTGTCGCTAATTTTCTTTCCTTTTTCCTTAGTGAAGTTCAAAATAAAGCATGAAGTGCTTAGGTTATATATGGATAAGAACAAAGGTGAGTTCTAAATAAAGGAGTTAAACGCCTTTCTCTACCATGAAATTAAGTAAAGAAGACTGAGACTATAAAATTGTAAAATATAAAATTTCCCGAAGGACACGCATTCCTTTTATACTGACTTCTTTTTCAAAACCCATGGAGAGTTTATTCATTTGAGAGAAATTTTTCTTTCTTTTCTTTCTTGTATCTGATATCTTTGGTTTAGCATCAAAAGCAAGCCTCTGGGATTGCTTATTAGAATAGCAATTATTTTGTGTTGGCTGGCCTAATCTTCTAAGATCTTTTGGGCTAAGGGATTGGGACAGCTCCAGTGCATGTGTAAACCCGTAGCTTGAGCAATACTCTACTGCAATTTTTCTTCTGAATGTTCTGAATGTTCTGTTTTTTTGCAGGTGAAAATCATAGCAATGAATGAGAATGTTGCTCTTAGGTCAGCCCTTGATAAAAATCTGAAGAGTGCTGTGACCACGGCTTTCCTCATGCTACCCGAAAGCTTTTCTGAAGAAGACCTCTTTATAGAGATTGCTGGACTGTCTTATTCAGGTTAGTAGATCTGGTGCTCACGTTTTCTGCAAGGAGATTTGTTGTGCAGACCAACATTCCACTCCTCACGCTACACAGGAGGCATGGCACCCTTCGTCCTGGATCCCATCACTTCCCGTGCACGTTCCTGCAGGAACCCCATGATTTGCCTCCAAGGTCTCTCCTTCCCACATCTGTATATAGATCACCCCAGGGTAATCTTGCTGTTGTTGTTACTGTTCATTTTCATTTTGAAACAATTTCAAACTGACAGAAGAGTTTCAATAATGATATAAAAAACTCCCATATACCCTTTCCCCAGATTTGCCAATTTTAATGTTTCACCACACTTGTGTTGTCATTCTCTTTGTACTAGTGGTTTTCTGACTCTAGTGTGCATCAGAATCCCCTGGAAGGCTTGTAAAAACAGACTCCTGGGCCCACCCACACACAGCTACTTTGGTAGGTCTGGGGGATGGAACCTAAGAATTTGTATTTCTGGAAAGTGGATGATGCCATTGTACCTCTATGGATCCCACTCGGAAAACCACTGCTCTCTCTGTATCTGCAAATGCTGTATTATGTTTTTTTTTTCTGAACTATTTGAGAGTAGTTCATTCATATCCTGTCCCCATCAGGCCAAATGCTTCAGTATATGTTTCCCAAGAACAAGGATGTTCTCTTACATAACCACAGTACAGTTACCAAATTCAGGAAGTTTATCACCAATACAGTACTTTTATCAAATTGAGGATCCATAGTCCATATGTTATTGCTGGTCACAGTGATGTCCTTTTTAGTGTTTTTTCCCCCTCAAGTACGTGATCCAGTCAAGGATCACATTTATTAAGATGTCCTCTCTCTTTTATCTTTTAATCTGAAACACTTCCTTAGCCTTTTTTTGTCTTTCATGATATTCACATTTTGAAGTCTCAGACCAGTGATGTTTGTGCCCTGACAAGCAGAGTTTTCTCTCTTCTAAGCAATCCATGGGGAGACATTTGAAGATCATGAATATATTCTGCTTCCCGTCAAACTTTCCTTCCTAGATTAAGCATTCAGTGATGATTCTTGCTTGAACCAGTCTTTACTATGATGGTTACAAAGTGGTGACTTTCCAGCTCCACCTCTCCTTGCACATAAAGGAAAAGCTTTCCCTTCTTCCCCATTCATTACTTTCTTTATCAATCTTAACTTCCTTTCCCTTTCTCCTTAAACCAGTTGTGTTCCTCAGATATGTCAAGGGCCCCCTTCAGAGGGGAAGGGGAAAGCTGAGAAAATAAAGCCCCTGGCCCCTAGCCCCTGACCTGGCCACAACCTGAGGGGAGTCCCCCTTCCTGTTTATTGTAGTAAGGATCTATGTAAAACTTCATTTACAAAGAGTAGTCTGCAACTTTTAAAATAGTTTGAAAACCACTGTCTTAAATAAATGTCTTCTTTCCCAGCTTTTAAGTGTGAGTCAAGGAACTATGCTCAAAACACTGCAAAAGCAGTTTACTCATTTTCTGAATCCCTGTACAGATAAGATTTCATGGAAATCTAATGCTGAAAGAGACCACTAAGGCCTGTTCTTCAGTCTTTTTTTTTCCCCCGAAAGGCAGCTTGCAGGACTACAGCTGCAGTTGCAATACTGGGGAGAAAGGAAGTGACAAAACCTCCGTCTTGGTCGCTTCCAGCTCCACGTGGCAGCAGCCCTGCCTTTCGGCAGAAAGTGGAGGAGCAAAGGCTGGTGCGGCTAAGTACCAGGATGAATGGGCCTGCACGCCACATGTGGGCAAAAGGGGCCCCCATGCTCCCCTGTGAAGATAGATAGACCCAGAGCCTTTTTTGAAGGGCTAACTTGGTGGGAGAGGTGCAGAGCCGATTTCTGCTTTGCCCACATCACTGCCGCTCTTCCATTTTCTCCCCATGATCAACATCAGCAGAGTGTTGGCTGGATTCTAGGAGTTCCTATACATTCTGAGCATTGATTAAAGAAGTTTATCAAATGACATAACTGCCTGCACCTATGAGCAGACTTTAAGTTAGCATTCAAGCTGCAATCAGTCTTCAGCTGACTTTTGCTTTGTCTCCTGGAAGGGCCGTGATTTATACCCTTCTCTTCTCCTGTACTGTGAAACAGGTACTGGGTGTTCAGTGAGTACTTGCTGACTCATAACAGTATCATTCTCTGTTTTTGCTTCTTTTATAATAATTATTATACAGCAGTATAGCAGTGCTATACCAGACACAGATAGGTAGGTGGGTAAGTAGATAGATGAGTAGGTAGGTGGGTCGAGGGGAGGTTAGTTATATAGAAAAGTCGATCATTTATTCCATCATTGAAACCTCACACAACAAGCCTGTTTGTTGAACAGGCTTTTCAGTGTGCCTTCCATGTGACACACACTGCTCCAGGTCCTGGGTATACACTGGTGAGCATGACGTGAGTGAGACTCCTCAAGGAGTTCATGTTCTCTTAGGTAGAGCCAGACAGTAAAGAAGCAGTAAGGTCATTTCAGAGAGTGGTAAGCGCAATGAAGAGAAGAAAATAACTCAAGATGAGGGCCACCGTAACGGTGGATAGTCAGGGAGGACCCTCTAAGGTAGTGATGTCTGAGCTCATATCTAATAGTGGCATGGAGCTTGCCCTGGGCTCCCAGGAGAAGGGCAGAGAGAGAGAGAGAGTGAAAGAGAGCGCGCTTCCTATGAGGCAGGTCCTCACCTTGGTGTGCCTAGCTCCAACTTTCTCAGCTTCCACTTTTTCCCATTTCTTATCTGGTCTCCTCTTGCTCTCTTATCGTTATATTATTTATTGCTTAACCCAGATTTGGATCTGAGAATTTGACCAAGGATCCCACATTACTCATCTCACGGAGGTTGTCTTCTTTTTACTGCAAAATGTAGGACACAACATTTGGCACATGTTCTCCAGAGGGAACTGAATCCAGCTTGGTGCGGTCCCTAGCTTATATGTGAGACACTCTGCAAAGAGCATTCTATTAGTCAGTGGTTAGAACTGAGAACATACTTTTCCATTAGGACAACATTATATGATGGTTGTTCCTAGGCCAGGACACAGCACAATTAATGGTTACGTACTCTATAATATAATGGAATTAAAGTGGAATAGTGAGGCTAGGGAAGGATCTAGGCCCTGCAGGTAGATACCTTTCACAGATATGAGACCTGCCTCAGGCCATGTGTTGAAAGGCAAGCTTTTCCTCTTGCCTTTCCTAGACTTCTGAGAACCTAGTATCCTTGAACTGATTGGATTCTAACCTTTCTGCAAATCACCTAAATCTCCCAAGCCCCCGGAATATTTCAAACTTTAAATTATCCACCAATCTCATTTTTATTTACAGCTTTGACATTTATTTTGCACCGTTTCCATGTGAGAGACAATATGTTGTTCCTAACCTGCGTAGGTCAGCATTTCTCCCTGGAAGGGGGTGGGGATGGGGAGACAGGAAACAGCATCTCTCCATATTATTGGGCAAGTTTCTGCCCGTAGTTACTAGCACAGACAAGAGCTGTCTGTATTACTAGCAGTAATAATAACCCCTTACAATTTTATATAGTATTTAAGGATCACTTTGCCTTGGGGGTCGGTCTTGATGGCTTTGTTGTAAATGATGGTGAGAAAGGAGTAGGTGGAAGATGAGAGCCTGAAAATTGGGAAGGCAAAAGCTTTCTAATCTTACTTCACTTATTCTTAGAAGTCAGCATTTAAGTAAACAGAAAAGGCAAACCAAATGAGCTTTAAAGGGTCACCTTGACCTTTCTCATGTAAGTACAAACTATTAAAATGACTAATTTTACATAATGATCCTGGTTTAACATTTATCAAATGAATCAGCGTCCCATACCTCATGAAGAATTAAAGCTATAATTTCTGCTCTAAGGAACTTCACATTAATAAACATGCAGTCATAGTGAGTCAGTGATAGGCTTAAAAACAACACGTGTGAAAAAAGCAGGGAGTGTGAAAGAACACAGCTTGTTTAGGGAAGAAGGAATAGATAGATGTAACTGAAGTCCGTGGCTCATAGTAGGAGAAAACAGTAGTCATTATCATGTGCCAGGAACGACGCTCAATATTTTTGATTGAATAACTAGTTTAACCTTCACAATAACCTGTTCCTTTGACTGTGTGCTGATTTATTGCCCAATTTTAAGATTAGAAAACTGAGGCCCAAATCTGTCTAAGGTCATTTGTCTGGTAGGTTAGTAGGTAGTGGAGCTAGAATGTTATTTATTTATTTATTTATTATTTATTTATTTATTTATTTATT